TACATCACTCTACCCAGAGATTAACCTTACCAAAGATCCTAAGGGGCACTCAGCCCTGTGAAAATAAGTGATAGAGTAAAGGCGCCATAGCTAGGAAAGACCTAGCTAGGCAAGAATAGTTTAGGCAAAAAGGAGAGTTTCACTAGAAAGCAGCAGGATACATATAGGAAACCCTAAGGGGTTGTACTCACTATAGAGTACCCCACTGCAGGCTAGAGAACAGTAACATTCTGACACACCCCCATAGCCAAAGTGGGGTGTAATCAGCAGAGCAAGCAAAGCAGAACAACCTCAGGGTGGATCACAATGTCACCACACATTCTGAGCACAAAGACAAGAAGCAATGGTTTAAAGTTCACAATTATGAGCAAAGCTAGAGGCTATCGCACATGACAAGTGAGGAGGAGGAGGCGAGACTGTAAGAGGAGAGGAGATAGGAGGCGACGACTGAAGCTGCAGACACACAGGCAACAGGAGGCACACTGGCACAGCGGCTACCGGAACAGCGCTCCGGACTACTGGAGTAACTGGCCCCGCGGCTAAAAGTAGCGGCAGACGAGCAACGGACCCACGGGCGACTGGCACAGGTGGCTACGACTGGGCTACCGGAGCAACTCCCCGGACCACAGGTGCTGCTGGCGACACTACGGCAACCTCCGATCAGCCTCCCCAAACAGTCCCACCCCCCTTGACACACACCCGCTGCTTCACCCCTAGCTCCACTCCCTCTTCACCCCCCCTTAGTACCACTCCGACGGCTCCAACAGGTCCACCCCCCTTCAGCGGCAGCTGCAGCACTGGGAGACGGAGGAGGAGGAGGAGCAGAGAACGGCACACAGAAGTTGCACCCCCATACCCCTCACCCCCAAACCCTAATCCAAAGGAATGGGCAGAAGAAGGTGTGGGGCCCAGGAAGAGGCACGGGGAACAGCAGGTAGGGCAGGGGCAGTGAAGAAAGGGCCGCCAACGGACCTGGTACAGGCGCCCGACCCGCGCGCGGGCGGGTTGAGTCGCGCGCGGGCCTGGCGCAGCCCGTACGGGCCGCGCGCGGGCCTGGCGCAGCCCGTACGGGCCGCGCGCGGGCCTGGCGCAGCCCGTACGGGCCGCGGACGGGTCTGGCGCGGCCCGTACGTGCCGCGCGCAGGCTGTACGGGCCGCGCGCAGGCCACGACGGGCGACGGGGGGCGACGCGGAGGTCCCCGTCGCCCGTCGCAGCGCCTCCCGGGAGCGGCGCACGGCGTGACGGGGCAGAAACCCGCCGTGCGCCCCGCCGCGCGCCTCGGGGCGCACGGCGGAAAGGGAGAGTAGCAGTTCCAGCGGAAGGAGTGTGGTGGGGCCCACAGGCTAGGAGCTTACTGCTCTGATAACCATGTGAAAATAAGTGATAGAGTAAAGGCGCCATAGCTAGGAAAGACCTAGCCAGGCAAGAATAGTTTAGGCAAAAAGGAGAGTTTCACTAGAAAGCAGCAGGATACATATAGGAAACCCTAAGGGGTTGTACTCACTATAGAGTACCCCACTGCAGGCTAGAGAACAGTAACATTCTGACAAGCCCAACATGGTATGAGAGCAGGTTAGGGTTAAGATTCTATTTCCCCTTAAATTACACCAAGAGACATGTCTACCAGAAAGGAGAGGAGCTCCTCCAACGGCTCTCCTGGTACTACTCCTACTCCTGCCTCTGGCCTACAAACAGAGGAAGGCACAACAACGAGACCGGCCGCTGGGTCTACTAAAACACCCGCAAACCAAGGCGCGGGCTTCGATCCAAGCATGATGGAGAAATTCTTCTCCTTCATGTCCTTCTACGAGCAGCATCAGCAAGGAGTACCTGTGCAATCAAACAACAGCAACAACAACAACAACGTGACACCCATGAGTCTCGATGGCTCATCCTACGCACGCGGGAATCAACAACAACAACCTACCTTCGCTCCGTACGAGCCCCAGCGCGGCTCCGTCAGCTTCATGCCACAACCACAACCTGCACCGGGACAAGAGAAAACACTGGACGCACTACAAGTTCAGTCGCAGTTCGCGCACGTTCTAAAACTACAAGCGACAAAACCCTTCGACGGGAAGGATTTCTTCACCTGGTCGTTCGAATTTGAGTTGATGATGGAAGGAGCACAAATCCTTGGCTTCTTCGACGGGTCCCTGCCATACCCAACAAACGGCACACAATATGAGAAGCAGCAGTACACCTATCAATGGATGATGGCGTACACGATACTACTGAGGAACATCACCCCGACTCAACAGCAGAACATAACGACTTACCGAGGATATGGCAACTCCGCGGAGCTCGCGTACAACCACTTGAAGAACCTGTATCAAGCAACAGACAGCGTAAACCAAAGTCGGTTAATGGCGCAGCTGACAACAATCGAAATGAAACCAGGCGAGAAGGGAATGGCGTATATCACTCGCTGTCGCGAGCTGCGCGACAAGCTTCTTCGATGTGGAGGATCGATTTCAGAAGACGCCTTCGTCACGGTTGTCATCGGCGGTCTTGGTCCTCATTGGCGCTCCACTCGCGCCATACTACGAGCACACGGGAGAATCTCCGAAGCAGCACTCTGCGCCGAAATCCATGCTGAGCAGCAAGACATGGACCTGCAAGAAGAACGACACAAGAGAAAGGTATTAGTACCCGAATTCGCGTTTCACACTCAACGGCGCCACAACAACAACAACAACAGTCGACCAAAAATCGTACCTCCGTTCTGCCACCTCTGCAAGACTTCAGGGCATCCTCGTACGCACTGCCTGAATCGACAACAGTCAACGACGCCGCAACGCCAACTTCGCCCTTCAAGCAATCAAGTCGCCTCAACGCAAGCAAATCCGACAACTTCGGTACAAGTCTCAACAACATCGACGGGACAATCTGCGAAAGAAACAAGAAACATCATCAGCTGCATGGCAAGGCTGAGCGACTCCTGCGTAACTGAGTCACCACCATATTACTCACCGGAAGAACAACTCGACAACAGCACGCCTCGCCGCGATTCACTTCAACCAAACCCGACGTACGGCGCCATCGCTCAAAGCGAACCGTCCGGGAAAGACACATGGTTCTTGGACAGTTCCTGCGGACAGCACATGTGCTCCTCGGGACGCTTCGTCCAACGCGAGCACCGACTTCAACGAGAGGTCGTCATCACAGTCACCAACAACCAGAACCTGCGCACACGACGACAAGGAGTAGTGCAACTTCAGTCACGGGAGACAAATGTTATACTGCAGATGTCAAAAGTACTAATCGCGGAGGGACTCGGATACAACTTACTGAGCGTCAGTCAGTTGATGACGAAAGGCATACACCTGGAAGCCGACAGCACCACCCAGGAGTTCAAGCTGTACCACGGGAAGGGCGGCCTCTACATCGAAAAGGCGGTCCTGAAAAACAATGTCTTTGTCCTCGACTTCGTCCCAGACCTGGGCACCGCAGACAGTGACGCCATCGTGAACTTCACCGACTGGACACATCCTCCAGACCTTGATCCAGACTTCAGCCCGGAAGGTTTTTGGTATTCACATACCATTCCTGAAGCAGAACGAACACGCGCGTTAGTAACAATACAACATTCGGCAGCAACAGAGACAACATCGGCAGCAGCAGAGACATCATCGACAGCAGCAGAGACATCATCGACGGCAGCAGAGACGTCATCAACAGTAGCAGCAACAACGACACCAGTCCTCGTTGACGAAACACCACAACCACCAGCACAACAGCTCCACCCAGCACCACGAGAAGTTCATCGTAGCGCAAACTTCACCACCAACTTCTATTCCAACTCCGATATGTATCGAGGATCACCCGGACATCGCGCCGACGAAAGCACCTGGCACGCAAGGATGGGACACCCAAGCAACACTGTGTTAAACAACACAATAAGAGCAGGAGTCCTTGACAAGGACTCGTTACTACTACTCGACGGCAGAGAACTCCAACGGGCACGAGGAACATGCCTTACCTGCCCCGAAGCCGACTTACCACATCGACCGTTCACTCCTCGTCACAACCCGAGCGCACCCGCGTACGCACCACTCGAAAAGGTGTATAGCGACATCCTGTACAATCGGGAACCAGGACAAGTAATCTACAACTACACAATCACCTTCATCGACGCCGCCACCCGTTACGTCTGGCACCTAAACCTACCCAGCCGCGACATGGTCCTCGAAGCATTCGCTGCTTGGCTACCAGTAGCAGAGAGAGAGTCGGGCGTAAAGCTGAAAAGCTTCCAGTCAGACGGAGGAGGAGAATACACCTCTCAGCGATTCAAGCAGTACCTGGCGGAAAGGGGGATCAAGCAGCTCCTCTCTCTTCCCTACGCCCATCAGCAACAAGGTGTAGCAAAAAGAATGAACAGGACTCTGCAGAACAGCATGCGCAAACTATTACGTGGCATGCGGCAACCCAACCACCAGTGGCCTGCAGCAATGGACCACGCTGTCATGCTG